CGGTAGTGTATATAAGGATGGGGGGGTGGGGGAATGTGACTGAGAAGCTTTTAATAAAAGACTTTAAAAAAATAAATCAGACCAGTGTACAGTGAATGTAGGCTCTTGCATTTAGATATACTTTAGGTTGACCTAAAGCCCAGTCTAAAACTTGCCAATTTACTCCACCACTGCTAATATGAGGTATTTAATTCTTACTTGTGAGCAGCGCTAAAGTCCCAGACCGCTGCCATCACCAAGTCTCAGCCAGGTAATGAAACACATGATTGTCCTGCCCTATGACAGAAAGCCCATGTCCCGCTGCTGGGGTTTTCTTGCTAGCTGACAATGGGAGTCTGTTGGTGCTGACCGGTAAATGTTATACAGGTTTTATTACCAACTTAGCTTAAAGGAGTGTAAGGCGAGGGGGCTATAAATTAGGTTATCTTTAGAACAGACTTAAAGAGAACTATGGGTCAACGTTTTTTTTTTCCATAGTTCGTCTCAGGGTCAAAAAAAACATTTACTGTGCCCTCCCAAGACCCAAAACTCAGCATATAGCGGGCTACTATCCGCTATATGCTGAGAGCGCTGCAGCTGGGACGGATCCTGACAATACTGTAAAGATCCACCTAGCTGACTAATTGACAGCTGTTCCTTTCCCCCGTCAGCGCTGGAGGATCAGAGGGGGGAGGAGGGAATCCCCGCAGGGATCGGCGGTATGTTTTCGCTTACTTCCTGATCAATAAGCCGATGTGTCACAGTTTCAATGTCACACGTTGGCTATAACTATGGGGATGAGTGTAATTCACTCACCCCATATACCTGAAGTATGATACACCACCATAAAGCAATTAAAGGCCTTAGGGGTAATATTCAACAAACATTTTTGGCAGAAACATGTTGTCCTACTGCTATGTTTTTAAACAACAGAAGATGAGCAGAATAAGTAGCAGTAACACATGCAAACACAATGAAGAAAATTTTCACTTCTTAACATTTTATCAAACACTGGAAATCTTTTTGAAATGTCTGGGGACCGGGACACTAGGGTACGTGAGCTCCGGGGTTTGAGGAGTTGGTAGGAGTCACAGACAGGAGGGATATCTGGGATGTTGGTCACAGGGAGAGAGGAACTAATGGTCTGTGCGTTCTCAGAACGCACTAGAGGCGCAGAATCAAAGAAGGGCCAGGTATTCGACAGAGCCTCTAGTGGTGAGGGTGATTGGCTGCTGGAAACCTTCCAGGTTGCGGCCCTCTAGCGCATCCACACAGACGCAAAGGACTCGTTGAAACACTGAGAACACGGATACAAAGAACAGGTAGGGGTGAAACTTGTAACCAAGAGGAGGAAGATAGGAACAGTGGCACACAATGAGAGAGAGAAAGTCACAAGCAAAGGTGCAAAACGCACAGCAGAACAGCAGAGTATACTGAAGTGGGTAGCTAAGCAAGGACACCCGGGAAGGGTAAGTAGCATAGAGGCACATCTAGGAGCAGGAAGGTGTAACATACAAAAGTAAGCAAGAGATGTGCATTGCACATGCATACAAAGAAGCAGGATAACAGAGGGAAAGGTACATAAAGAGGCACAAAGAGATGTATGCACACAGGGGATGTGCAGACAAGGAAGAATCCAACACAGCCACAGGGTAAGAGAGGAGCACCGAAGTAAAGGAGTGACAGCAAAGCATTAGGAAGATACATTGGAAGGTAAGTGATGGAACTGAAGTGCAAGAAAGCAAGTAAATAGGAGGAAGCAACACACAAAGGCTGTTAAGGTAAAACACAGAAGAAGTGATGCAATGAAGGCAGTATAGGGAGACTCACAACACACAGGTGAAAGCAATTAAAGTGACATTAAAGGCAAAAAAATGTTTCCCTCCCACCAATGTTAATGTTAGCGCTTACCTTAAATGATGTCTCTTTTTCCGATCTTCCTCTTCTTTCCTGATGTTTTCAGCCTTCTCTCCAGCGGTGCGGCGTCTCGCCGATCCAGCGCTGACTGCTCTGTCCCTCCGATCCAGCGGTGTCTGTATGCGGGTGCACGCGTCCATAGACTTACCTTGCTTCCCTCGTCGCATCCCGGCCAAAAATGAGAACTGCGCATTGCGTGCGCCCCAAGATCCTTTGCAGCCGCCCGAGAAATTTCTCATTTTCGGCACGGGACTGCGCGCGGAACACCGGTGAGTCTAAACTGCTGTTTGAGCGTTTAAAAAAAAAAAAAACTTTTTGCATATATCTACTGCTTGCTAGCAGTAGATATATGAAAAAAAAGGGAGGGTTTAAATATCCTTTAAGGTCTGCAGCAATATTCTAAAGGTAAACACTGAAATACTATAGTAGGGGCGCAAAGAGCAAAGCAGGGGATAATGCCAAACAGGGATACCAGCTGGTACAGGGAAGCCAAAGGTACAAGGATCCAATAGTAAGCGCAGACACAAGGGGTACAGAACAAGGCATAAGACTTGTTGCTCACACCAAGAGCAACAAGTGAGGAAGTCCTAAATAGGGGAGGAGGAGAGCAGATTGGCCACAGCCTTGTGAGACACCATAGGCTGATAGCCCAGAACCAGGGATCAAAACGAAAATCCGGCACGGATTTCCGGATATTGTGACAAACACAAAATTAGGGGTGACACAGCTTCAGAAAATGTTTTAGTTCCTGGGGATCAGAGCAATTTTGCCATTTTTGATGTGTTTGTTTAACCATAATTTCCATCTTTCTCATTCATTGCACCTACACATACAGTATTATATATCATTTTTTTAAAGGACAAAATGGGCTTTCACGTGGTGTTACATATACATATATAAACTCTTATTTTTTTACATAAAATTTTAAAAAATGCAAAAAGATGGGGAAAAAACACATTGGGACAGTTTGGCAATAATAATGTGTACCTATATAGTGTAGCTATTCACCTTTTTTATTTACTTTTAATTTTCAAATGTCTGTAATACAATAAGGTTAATGGTGTCCCAGTTGAAATGAGCTCAGTCAACTCAGTGGAAGCCACATAGTGAAGTTTCGATAAATGACTTCAGAGGGTTATGAAGGCTACATTAAACTCAGCTGAACCTGTTCTTGTGCTAGAAAAAACAGCCCCTCTCTATCCTTTTTCTTTTTTTTCAGAAAGCAAAAATAATGTTAAATATAGTGACAATACACAAAAAAACCCCCTCCACCCCCCCGCCCCCCAAAAAAAAACCGAACAAAAAAAACTTTAAATAAAGAAAATAATTAGATTCCCCCCATCCCAAGAAAATGTAATGAATTCAAGTTACTCAAGAAGCTCAATGAGCGAAATTGAGAATTTTGGCAAGATTTCGCTTACGGCAGAATCACTTTGCTCATCCCTACTAAGGACTCCAATGCTGTAAGATAACAATACTAACCAGCAAGCCTAATTATAATTTTGTCGTAATTTCTTATTCACATTTGGGGGCAATCGATCAAAACTGGAGCAGACAAAATCTGGAGCGGTTGCCCATGGCAACCAATCAGCATATCTCTTCAGTCTGCTCAGGTAAGATTTGAAAATGAGACAGTGAAACTAATTGGTTGCAGTGCAAGTCTGCTCCAGACTTTGTCTGCTCCAGTTCTGATACATTTCCCCCTTTGTCTTTACTATTCCATATATGTAAGTAAAGTGTAAAGTAAAGTAAATATACAGCAAAATACCAGGCTTAAAGGGTTTGTCAAACCAAAAGTGATCTTTTAGTTATAGGTGGAGTCTGTTGGGCTGAATTTTCCCTTGGCTTCTTAAATGCATTGGAGATTCCAACAGCAATATTTACTAATAATTACTAATTCTGTTTCTCTTGTTACTTGAAAATATAAGGTGTTCTTGTCCATCTTTGTGTGTTTCAGCCCCTCCTGCTGTGTCCTCCTTAGTACAAATATCAATTTCAGTATTAAAATGTTAAGGAGATGTTTATTTAGAAGGTCCACAAGGGATATTTCTTGAGATTTGTATGAAACTCCTAAAGCACTCAGAAGCTTTAATCCAAAGTCACTGTCAGTGTAGGACATGGTAACCATGCTGACAGTACAGCTGGCATTTCCCCACATTTCTACAAAAAGACACAAGTTATATACGTGCCTGTCTGAATAAACAAGAGATTGTGTTTCCTTTGGAAAGAATAGCCCATTAAAGGTTTATGGCCCCCTATAGACAAAAGATATAATAGACAAAAGTATAGAAAAAAAAGCTGGTTAGTAATATTCACCACTCCGTTTTAGATGATCTGTTGCAGAGAATTTCCTCTTCTCCACTCGCTGCCTCACAGTAGTGTTGTTCCAAACGGGCAGGAATCGGAATCCAAAAGTGCAAAGTTTCTATTATCTTGCTTTTTTTTCACCAAATAAAACTAAAAATAAATAAAAGCTGTACAACAAATGTACACACTACTGTGACCTCGGAAGGTTAACATGAACACACGTAACCCTCTTTATACTCTCAATTGTTCCATGCCTTGTCTTCCGTCCAATGTTAGTCACATTTGTAACAGTTGTTCTGTGACGTCACGGCTCGCTCCGCCCATCTGTTTACATTCTGACCAGAAATGTCATTTTGCGGCGTGTTTTCGTCAGGTTCGGACAGTTCGTCGTGCGGTGGGACTTTTTTAAAATTTTAGTGGGCATCGTGATTGACTCTGGATTACATCGATGGATCCATTTTTTTTAATAAAGGAATACCGTAGTCAAAAATTGACTTTTATTTTTCAGTTGAAGGATTTTGTTTTCTAAAAGTGTGAGTTCCTTATTTACTTTGACCCTTTAGTGAATGAGTAGGGGTACGGGTACCCCTTACTCATTCACAAGGGGGGACAGCATCTGGGTGCCCCCTTAATTAAATGGGTTCCGCGATGCAAATAAGCCCGCCTGCCCGCAGACCCCCACAACTACCGGGTTAGGGTTGTGGGGAAGAGGCCCTTGTCCCCATTAGCATGAGGACACACTCTCAATGCCGAGGGCACGTGGCCCGGTAAGGCGCAGGGAGGGGGCGCTCGATACCGGACACGTGGCCCGGTAAGGCGCAGGGAGGGGGGGCGCTACCCTGCTTAGCCTGTGCTCGGATCAAGGGTCTGGTATGAAACCCCCCCCCCCCCTTTTTTTGGGGGGGGGTTCCCCCTTAAAAAAGGGCCTGTTATGTCTTTTAGGAGGGGAAACCCACGCACTTTTAAAAAAAAATTGGGGGGGGTCCCTCCTAACATTCCTACTAAACCTAAATGGTCTGGTATCAATTGGGGGGGAACCTCACGCTTCTGCAGACTGTAAAAAAAAAAAAAAAAGTCATTTTTTTTTTTTTTGTCTAATGTCACTTTGCTGCAACGAATATTCATCCAGAAACGAATATTCGTACAGACTACTGCTAACAAATTTTTTCCGAAATTTTGGTTATTGGAAATTCGGATTCGTTTTCATTCGTCATTTCTGTCAAATCCCCGAAAATTCACCTGAAAAACTAATCTTTCCAAAACGAATCGCACATGTCTAGTGTTAAATGGTGAGTAAAGGTAGATCAAAACAGGGGGTAAATAGTGTTGTAGCAGGGGAACAACTTTTATTAAACTTGGACATAGTATTATCCAATTTAGCCAATCTCCTTTCATGAACCATCATCCATGTCACGTATTGTTTTACAATTGATATGTTATGGGTGGGCGATTTCCAGGATTTAGCGATTTCTTGCTTTGCTGCAGAGAGTACATGTATATGTCGAGAGGAAGGTCAGGACTAATGCCAAACAGTTAAAGGAGAACTATGGGGTTAGGGCTTTTCCCCATAGTTCTCCTAAGGGTAACGGGAGGACACAAACTAGCGTCCTCCTGTCACCCAAAGCTCAGTATATATACTGAGACGCCGCACCCGGAACGGATCCTGACAATTATGTCTGGATCCACCCAGCTGCGTGAGTGACAGCTGGCTCTGCCTATCTAGAGCTGTACCCGCCCCCTCCCCCGTCCGTTCCGCCAGTCAGCACTGGAGGATCGGACAGGGGAGGGGGGAATCCAGTCCCTCCCCTGTCACAGTTCTCTGCCGGCACAGGATTGAGTAGTGAGCGAGCGCCGGTATGTGTTTGCTCATTTCCCGATCTACTGAGCCGACCTGTGACAGTTTCATTGTCACAGGTCGGCTCACATTATGAGGCTTACTGAAAATCACTCACCTCATAATTCTCCTTTAAGTGTGAATACCAGACAGAATTTGGGGTAAGCAGTAGACACGTGTAGACACCTTTTTGTTCACTGACACTTTCAGTACACTAGGTAGGATCTATATTTGGTGTATGGTAACATTAGAGGCATAAAGAAAATGCCTAGCTACAGCTACTACCAACACTTATGAGAGAGGACTGTTGTCCAAGAACTAAAGCGGGGGCCCAATCTACTTGTCCCTTATGACAATCAGCTTGTTCTGAAACAAAACATAATTTTAACCAAAACCCTACTGAACCAAGTGAAGAATCGCTTCTCATTGGTCAGCGTGGTCACCTGGCCGCGCTGACCAACGAGTACTTGCAATTTGCGAGTGAAATTCAAAATTCATAGGGCAGGGCTGTGCTGGACGGCAGTATGGGGAACAAATACTATAGCTGTACTGGCAGAGGGGAAGGACCGTGTGCCGAAAGGTTAGTATAGCTCTGGGGGAGGTAATGTGGGGAGAGGGGGCCAGATTTTAGTGTTAGAAAGCACTGCTTATTCACATGCAGGGCCAGGGTTAGTTTTAATCTTTTTCGTTTATTGTTTTTTTACTTTATTGCTTAATTTTTTATTTTATTTTTACTATTTTATTACTTTTATATTTCGGTTTTATTATTTTTTACTGTTTTTTTCAATTTTTATTTTATAATTTTAACTTTTCTATCACTTTTTAAATCTTTATTTTATTATTTGTTTTACTTTTTATCACTTTTAATTCTCATTTTATTATTTTTTACTTTTTTCAGTTTGTTTTTTTTACTTAACTTTAAACAAGCTGCTATGTGATAGTGTTTGGAGGTGACAGATTCTCCTTATGGAACCTGTCACTTCCAACACAGAACATCAAGCAACTGCATTGTGCTCGATTCTGTGC